ATAGCTCTCCTGGGAGGCACCAAGTTGAGCGAGATGGCCGCGCCTTTATACCCCCACACCAATCCCATCCGCTGGCTGTAGGCTGCCCCAGAAAGGGCATGACCTTGGGCGAGGGGGCCCTGCAGCAGCTGGGGAAGTCCTTCTCTGGAGGACCCTCTGAATGGCCCATGTGTCCACTCAGGCCCCGCCCACAACCCCCCACCCTCTGTCTCAGTTCCCCTCCCCTCATCCTTAGCATGTCTTGCTGGCTCATTGCAGATTGACCAGATGTTCGCCGCCTTCCCCCCTGACGTGACTGGCAACTTGAACTACAAGAACCTGGTGCACATCATCACCCACGGAGAAGAGAAGGACTAGGAGGGGGCTGGCTGCTGCGCCCTGGGCTCGTCTTTGCAGAGTGGTCCGTGCCCTCATCTCTCTCCCCCTAGTACTGCCTCTGTCCCCACCTTGTCTGTTAGCTGTGTGGCTGCCCCATTTATCCACCTCCATCTTCTTTGCAGCCTGGGTGGCTACAGATAATCTCATGGCCGCATATCCTAGAGATGGAAATCTATCCAGAGGCCGTGTTCCAATAAACAGGAGGTTGTGTATTTGGTCATGACATTTCTCTGACAGATAGTGCCTTGAGTAAGGAAGGCAAAAGTAGATGAGCTAGTGACAGCCTTGCAGTCATTATTGAATCTTGGTGACTCTTTATTTAAGGTAGACCTTTGCAGCCACTCAAAACTGTTTCTATTAAGGACCATGTTTTACTGGAATGTTACCTGGATGACCACAGCCCTCTCTTCCAAAGAGCTCAAGCATTTAGAGGGCCTTGCTTCCACGACATCCTTCCCTTAGGATGTCATTGGAATCTCCTGCCAGTGACAGTGACAAGAAGGAAGTGGCCTGACACATGGTAGGAACATAGCTCCTTCAACAGTAATCACATCTGCCAATTCTAAGAGAGTGATTTCTAGTTTCAGATAAAGTAGAAGTTGTCTGTACTTCTTCCTTAGCAAACTAGGGGAGCGATACTGACTTCTGACCCTGTCTGGGGCCCAGGCCTGGATGTGAGTTGACCCTTGATTTTGAGTGACCACAGTCATGGTTGAAGCATTCAGGTCTATTATGGCTGCAAGATTCCCAATGTAAGAAACAAATAGGGCCAGGTGTGGTGGCTCATCCCTGTGATGCCTGCACTTTGAGAGGCTGAGGCAGGAGGATCACTTGAGCCCAAAAGTTTGAGACCAGCCTAGGCAACATAGTGAGATCCAATCTCTACAAAAAATAAACAGCCAGGCATAGTGGTGTGCACCTGTGGTCTCAGCTACCCAGGAGGCTGAGGTGGGAGGATTGCTTGAGCCCAGGAGGTTGAGGCTGCAGTGAACTGCCCTCCAGCCTGGGTGGCAGAATGAGACTCTGTCTCCTAGAAAAGGAAAAAAAAAAAAAGAAAAAAGAAAAAGAAATAGGTTCAAATAACTAAGAAGTCCAAGGGCTTCAGGCACAGTTGCATCTAGGAGCCCAGACAGTGCCCTCAGAGGCTGGGGAGGCCTCTGTTTCCTGTCATGTTGCTCTGCTCTCGGCAGTGGCAAAATAATTAAGAGCAGTTCCTGCCCCCTTTCCAGCCCCTTAGCAATCCTAGAAGAGCATACTCCTGTCTCTCCCAACTCCATACAAACCTCAGAACAGGGCCTCGTGGGATCCCTCTGGGGCACCTGACCCCTGAACCAATCACCATGGACTGGCAAAGGCAGCGCTCTGATGGATGGACGGGCCTGGCTCAACTGATCAGCCCTGTGCTGGGGTTGAAATCAGAGCCCTCCTGAACCATATGGCCTGGAGATGGGCGGGAAGATTCCCCGGAGGAAAACCCGAGAAGCAGCAGGGAATGGACTTCAGGCACTTCAGGTTTTCAAGAGAATTCCAAGAACCCTCCCAGCACTTTGGGAGGTCGAGTTGGGCGGGTTGCTTGAGTTCAGGAGCTCGAGACCAGCTTGGCTAAAATGGCAAAACCCCGTCTCTACCAAGAATGCAAAAATTAACTGGGCATGGTGGCACATGCCTGTAATCCCAGCTACTCAGTAGGCTGAGGCAAGAGAATCACTTGAACCCAGAAGGAGGAGGTTGCAGTGAGCTGAGATCACTCCAGCCTGGGCGACAGAGCCAAACTCCGTCTCAAAAGAAAAGAGAGAATCCCAAGAACCTAAGAACACAGCCCAAGTCAATGACGTGATGGGAACAAGCTGAAATTTGGTGACAGAGTGGAGCTGGGGTCACAGTGAAGGCAGGAGGGCTCAGGAGGCCAGAGGAGCCACAGTTAGGGCCAGTCCTCCAGGTTTGACAATGGCAACAGTGCCATCCATGGCAGGAGCTCAGGGCCGAGCCAGCGACAGGATGAACGAAACTGTCTTCTGGCTGCAGAGACCTGGGGCCCCTTTCAAAGCAGGCTTCGTGGGCAGGGACCCAGGGGAGTCACGGCCCCACCCCATGACCCAGGATGCCCCACACCCTGTGGTGACCCTTGCCCCTCACAGCCTCCCTGCACTCCAGAGCTGGTCCAGGCTGAGACCCTCATACCCCGGGCTCCTGTGGTCAGAGATGCAGTCCGGCACCAAGAAGGCGGGACTCAGGACACTCCAGGGCAGTGCGTGGTTCTGGGCAGGACACTGTGCACTCAGCTCTGCAGTGACATGCTCACCCACAACAGACACACGCAGAGATGGAGACATGCAGAGACACACAGAGAGACACAGAGATGCACACAGATACACAGTGAGCTGAGATCACACCACTCACTGAGCTGAGATCACTCCAGCCTGGGTGACAGAGCCAAACTCTGTCTCAAAAAAAAAAAAAGAAGAAGAAGAAAGAGAATCCCAAGAATGGGTACAGACATGCAGAGACACACAGAACACACAGAGACAGAGATACAGGGACATACAGAGATGAACGCAGAGATACAGAGACACACACAAATACAGACATGCAGAGACACACAGACAGGGACACACAGAGACATACAGAGACACACA